GATGTACTGTAATTACCGAAGCTGAATGATAGATGCCTTGAGTTTTATTATAATAGTCTTTCTATGTTTGTATATATTTGAAGTTTCTCATTAGAAAACATTTTAAGAGAGATACCTGGGTGGCAGAGTCAGTTAAGCGCCTGACTCTTGAATTCATGTCAGGTCATAATCTCACGGTCATGAGATCAAGCCCCACATTGGGCTCTACGCTGAGTGTGCAGCCTGCTTACGATTCTCTGTCTCTCCCCCTGCCCGACCCCACCTTTCCCCCAAAAATAAAAATCAAAAAATAACTTAAAAAAGTAAACATTTTATGAAAGAGATATCCTAAGAAAAGTAAAAAGTCAAGCTACAAAGAGAAGATACGTGCAACACAGATAAGCAAGAAAGGGCTGCCACCCGGAGGCTCTAAAGAGCCCCTATAACCACCACAGGAAGAAGAAGCAACACACCAGAGTGGGCAAAAGACCACACAGGCACTTCACAGAAGTAATATATTTGGCCAAGGTACACACAAAGACATGCCGGAAAAGCAAGAAAATGCAAATCAAACAACAGTGAGATGTCACTTAGCAAAAACCGAAAAGTCTGAAAACTGTAAGGCTTACAGAAACAATGTGGATCGAGAGGATCTCTCAGGCCTGGGTACAGTTTGTTCAAATAATTTGCCCCTGTCCTCTAAAGCTGAATCTCATGCACGTCCCCCACCAATGAGCAACTCCATTCCTCAGGTTAGGACCAAGAGAGCAGTTTCGAACACCTGTACGCATGTACCAGGACACACATATGAGAACATGCCGGACAGTGTTGTTTCTCAGAACCAGAACCCAGAGAACACAGAACGTACAGTAACACAACAGAGCGTTATGCAACAGTGAAAATAACCGAACTACAGCTGCAGGCTGCATGAACAAATGTGGAAAAGCTATTATCGCATAAAGAAAGTCAGGTCATAATACAGACAGCATGACTTTCTTTTTACAATTAGCAAAAATAATTATAATGAAACAATACTGTGCTAATGTCTCTCTATGTGGAAAAAACTGTTCTTTAAGAAGCAAGAACATGATAACACAAAATCAGAATTCGGTTTACCTTGGTTACGCGTCGGTCAGTGGGATGGGACAAGAGAGATAGAGGTAAGTTACTGCTCATGTTCAAGTTCCCAGGTTAGTGCAGCTCACGATGTTCATTATTTCTAAGGACGGATGGGGGAAGAAAGCACAGGCCGAAAGATCGGTTAGAGGCCACGCCAGCAGCTCAGATGGAAGAGGTTGGGCTGGGCAGTAGCTGTGGGGCCGGAGAGATGCACCAGGAATCGAGATTCAAGACGCAGAGGTGACAGACCTTGGTAACTGGCATGGATGTGAGGAGGAAGGAGGAGGAAGAAGGAAGGGTCTGAGTTTTACAGGTTTCAGATCTTGGGAGCTGGGTGAAGAGCAGGGCCCATTTGACAGCAAAGGGAGCCACAGGTTGGTGACGCACTGCAAAGAGTTCCGAGGGGTACACGCGACCGTCTCCCTCACAGCCAGTCCGACCACCCCCACCGTGAGGCAACAAGCGGTGAGGGGGAGAATTCAATCACCCTCTGCTCCAAAGACACAAACCCTGATCCGTTTGAGCTCAAAAGCGTAACGCCGCCGACACACGCACGGCCCAAATGCGCATGTCTGGAGGGAGGCTCGATGGCCTCCGTCTGGTGTTGAGAGAAGCCTGCTCTCTCCGGTACCTCGACCGGAAAGGGGAAGCGGGTGGCCGCCGCCGACAGCGGGCGTTTCCCAAGTCGCAAAAGGATGAGGCTGATAGAAGAGGGGGCAAAACCACGCCCGCTACGAAGAGAAGAACCGAAGCCAGAGCTCTGACGCCAGCAAGACGGAGGGCTGGCTCGCCTCCGGGCCCCTCAGCGAGGGGAGCCCCTCTTCCTGTGGCCGCAGCAGCCCACGAGAGCAGGTTCCCTACTGCCGGCAAGAAAGACACCAACTCTATGCAGACGTCGGGGGTGGAGAGGGGAATCTGTGTATCACAAGCCCTGAACAATGAAATTGGCTCGACTGGAGAAGGGTAAGTTGATTTCCTGTCCCTCATCCTGGGAATTTCAATATCCTTCTTTTTTTTTTTTTTTTTTTTTAAGATTTTATTTATTTATTTGACAGAGAGAGATCACGAGTAGGCAGAGAGGCAGGCAGAGAGAGAGGGGGAAGCAGGCTCCCCGCTGAGCAGAGGCCTGATTTGGTGGTGGGGGGGGGGAAATCCCAGGACCCTGAGATCATGACCTGAGCCAAAGGCAGAGGCTTTAACCCACTGAGCCACCCAGGCACCCCCAATATCCTTCTTCTTAAAAAAAAAAAAGAAACAGGGGCGCCTGGGTGGCTCTGTGGGTTAAAGCCTCTGCCTTTGGCTCAGGTCATGATCTCAGGGTCCTGGGATAGAGCCCCGCATTGGGCTCTCTGCTCAGCAAGGAGTCTGCTTCCCCCTCTCTTTCTGCCTGCCTCCCTGCCTACTTGTGATCTCCGTCTGTCAAATAAATAAAATATTAAAAAGAAGAAGAAGAAGAAACAGTTGATCATAGCATCGCCTGTCGCACCTTCGGGCCAGACCACATGACTACCGATCCTGTCATGCTGTGGGCCCAGCAAGAAGGAAATGAGGCTACCTGATGTTTTGACTGTTCTTCGTAGCTTTTACTGATGTCCTCCACAGAGAGGCTTACAGTATTGTTCTCTGTGTTTTTAGTTGTCAAATGTAAAATATTTTAAATCCTTGGCATTAAAATAAGTTAATTCCTAATGAAATACATACTTGAGGGAGAAAGTCTAGATCCTATTTGTTTCTCACTGTAGTTTTATAGTCTTATAATCCATAATAACCAGGAAACAACCTGACTAAAAATTTGTGAATTTAGAGGTTAGGGGACTTAAGAATAATTAAATAATTGTTGCATTCAAACTTTAACTCAAGAATTATGAAATACAAAATCCCAAGAAGACTAATTAAAATCAATAACTAGATACTCTACATATGAAAGGGACTCTCGAGCCTAATAAAGAGGCCAATGAATAGACTAATATTTGAAATGTTTCAAAACAAAATGCTATAATTTTCAAAAATAAAATTCCAATAACCAGATCCTTTCATTTTACCAGTACATGAAAGCCATTTCAAATTACTGAAGAACAAATAAGATATTATCATATATATAAGAGTTCAAGGTTAGCAATGATGTGAGGATTGATTCTGATGCCCATGGCCAAAGTTTTCAATACAATATGACATGAGAATTACCAAATTCACCACTGACATACTACTGTCCTTCCTCTTATTAACTCACTCATCTTTTTTCAGTTTTGTTTTGTTTTATTTTCCCCCTAGTTCTCTATGGTGTGCTGCTCTACTGACTCGTCTTCATATAACTTACTGTTTGCTTATTCTTTTCCTTTGTCTCTATCTGGATGTGTCCAGGTGTCTGTGACTACGTCCCAGGACTCCTCTGCACCTTCGGCTCCTAAGTTTGGTCTTCCTGTTGTCTCTTACTGTTTCTTTGTTCTTCCTTCTCCTTCCTTCCTTAGCCATAGTATTTAACTTATTTGACATGAGTATGGAATCAAAGTTTATAATCTCTTTTAAAATAGTAAGATGACTTTTTTTTTAAACAGTAAGATTTTTTAAACAGTAAGATGACTTTTATCTCTGATTTAGTAAAAAAGATTGTTTATTGGATTTATCTGTGTTGTACAACCCTGAAGTGATTTACCTAGTGAATTAGTGTCATGATAAGGTGCTGCTTATTCACCACAGAATAACCATTTTTACTAAGGTCTTTGGATCAAAAGACTCATTCCTTGAACAGTATAAAATTAACCTTAGGGATTCACTAGTCTAAATTACTAAAAAAATGACATTCAAGTTCTGGAACTTATGTCTCGTGTGGACTTTTGTTTTAAAATTTCGAATTTCCTGGGGTGCCTGGTTGGCTCAGTTGCTTAAGCATCTATCTTTGGTTCAGGTCATGATCTCAGGGTGCTGGGATCGAACCTTGCATCAGGCTCCCTACTCAGTGGGAAGCCTGCTTCTCCCTCTCATACTCCCCTTACTTGTGTTCCCTCCCCCGCTGTGTCTCTGCCAGATAAATAAATAAAATCTTTAAATAAATAAATAAATAAATAATAAGAATTAAAATGTGAATTTAGTGAGTGCCTACACTGCAATTTGGCTTTGACACCTGCAGACTTTTACAATTAATTCACAGAGTCTTCAATATTATAAAGTGTAATGAATAACATCTTACAAATGTATGAAATCAAAATAGGTCTACAGAGAGAAAAAATGAAGCAGAAAGAATTCACCCATCCAAACCGGATGATCAACAATATAGCAGAAATCAAAAATCTAAACTCTTGCTTCCTGGAATATAAACACTAATTTTTGTAGCTCCATCACTTATGATTTCTTTTTGTTTCTTACAACACCAACTTCATTCTCCATGAATACAAATACAGCAAATCATTTCTGTTTTAATTTGGAGTACATTCAAATAGTTTTCATCCAGGATTATAAGGTGTAAACACAATGTTCTGCACTGAAAAAAATTAAAATAGTATCCTAAACATAACGAGAAGAAAATAAGATTAGAGTCAAGGGGCATTTACTATTACAGAGAAAAGAAAGGTCAGTTTTAAGGTCCAATAGAAAGCCTCATAATCAAATTCACAGCTTAGCTATACTTCTCTGGCTAGAGAGCAGCTACACTAAGGGACCTATAATTTGACCAAACAACATGTCTCAGTGTTGTGATTCTCCATAATTTTATAACGCTTACTATGTGACACGCCCTGGGACAATGAGTCACTCTGGCATTTAACCAATCCTTAGAAGGAACTTATATGGAATAATTTTCCTTGTCACTGTGATTCTAAGTTGACAACCCTCAGCAAGGCAATCTGGAAGAAGCAGGACTAAGGGACAAACATTGTGAAAATGCAGGAAGCATGCCAAGCACTGGCCTGTCATATGCAGCAATCATAAAGTTGAGGAGGAGGCTGATGGACTGCTCCACGCTGATCTGGTGAGTGGAAGGAAGGCGCTTGTTCAGCTGGTAGTAGACAGAGGAGATGACGGTTTCGAGGCGGGACACACTGATCTCAGTGGTATGGTCCAGTGTATTAAGGCCATTGTCTCGGAAGGCTTCAATCATGTTCCAGATATCAACCAGGTGGACTAAAACAAAGAAAATGAACGGTCAACAATTTAAAAGTTCTAATTCATCAGAAAGGTGTTAAGACCTTTTTGTTTATTCACATCTGACAGAGCAGTGAAGGGTGGCAGAGGAAGATCCAAAAATATGCCACTTTGGCATAAGGATTATTTTGAGCAATTCTGACACCTGAAAAACAGCCTGCGTCAAGAAGTTCACGCCGAACTTCTCTTTTCTTCCTGAAAGCAGGAAACAAACTCCCAAGTGAAAGATGCCTTCTCTATTCCAAGGGTAAAGAAACATTCTTATTCCCAGAGACAGTGAATCAAGGCCAAGAGAAATCTGTACAGATTTTATTAAAATAACCCTTATCTTCCTTGAGACTCCCCATATATTTTAGTTACTTTTCCACAATTGCTACTCCCTCTTCCCTAGTATATCAGCACTTAGGCCTCATCCCTCCTTCGGGTCTTCACTTTGCTATAGGGGCTCCCAGGTACATGGAAAAATCTGTGTGCTCTTCTGCTAATATGTCTTATAACAATTTCACTCTCAGGTATGACCAGAGACTCTACGAGGATAGAGGTAAGGTCTTGCCTCCCCTACAAAAGCTATATTGTCAAATATAACAGAACATCAGAGAGATAAATTCACAAGCTTAGTGGGAGCTATTAACACATTTCTCTTAGTAATCAATAGAGCAAAGGTACAGAGTGCAGATGTAGACAATTCAACATTACAACCGGTGAAGAAGGCATAATGGGCTCTGTATGAAATCCTGCACCCAGTGATTAGAGAATACGCTCTACTTTCAAGAACACAAACAGTGTGTGTGAAAACTGAACTTATTCTGAGCCATAAAGCTAATTTTGGCAAATGTCAAAGGATTCAAGTCATATCAACCATGCCATCTGATTAAAATGAGATTAAATTACAAATCATCAAAAAGACCACTTTTCAAATAAACCTTACACTCAGAAATGAAGAAACACACAGTACTAGGCAATGTCCTTCATCTGATTAAGGGTATTTATAGAAAACTGTGGCAAACATATGACTTAATAATAGAATGTTGAAAGTCTTTCCTCTGATATTGTGAACGAGATAAGAAATGCCCACTATCAAAGGTAAATTGGTACAGTAACTGTGGAAAACAGTATGGAGGTTCCTTAAAAAATTAAAAATGAAACTACCATACGAACCAGTAATTCCACTAGTGGGTATTTATCTAAAGAAAATGAAGATATTAACTCGAAAAGATGTATGCACCTGTCTGCTTACTGCATTGTTCATTCACATTAGCCAATATACGTAGCATCCAAGTGTCCATCAATAGACAAATGAGTAAAGAGGATGTGGTACGTATACAGGATGGAATAGTATTCAGCAATAAAAAATGATGAGATTTTGGGACGCCTGGGTGGCTCAGTTGGTTAAGCAGCTGCCTTCGGCTCAGGTCATGATCCCAGCGTCCTGGGATCGAGTCCCGCATCGGGCTCCTTGCTCATCGGGGAGCCTGCTTCTCCCTCTGCCTCTGCCTGCCGTTCTGTCTGCGTGTGCTTGCTCTCTCTCCCTCTCTCTCTCTCTGACAAATAAATAAATAAAATCTTTAAAAAAAAAAATGATGAGATTTTACCATTTGCAACAACATGGATGGATGTAGAGGGTATTACACTAAGTGGAGTAAGTCAGAGAAAGACAAACATCATATGATTCCACTTGTATGTTCTCTTATATATAAAACAAAGGAACAAACAAAAATCAGAAACAGGTGCATAAATACAGAAAGCAAACTGGTGGTTGCCAGAGGGAGGGAGAGAGGGAGATGGACAAAATGGAACAAAGGGAATGAGAGATATAGGCTTCTCATTAGGAAATAAATAATTCATGGAAATACAAAGGAAAGCACAGGGAACACAGTCAATGGTACTGTACTGCACTGTACGGGGACAGAGGGTAGCTGCACCTGTGGTAGAATCACTATGTTGTATACGTCAACTTAAAAAAGAAAAGTAAGAAAGAAATGGGGCGCCTGGGTGGCTCAGTCAGTTAAGCATCCAATTCTTGATTTCAGCTCAGGTCATGATCTCAGGGCCGTGAGATCGAGCACCATGTCAGGCTCTATGCTCAGCAAGGAGTCTGCTTCAGATTCTCTCCCTGCCCCTCTCCCTCTGCCCCTCTGCATGCTCACACAATCATGCTCTATCTCTCTAATAAATAAGTAAATCATTTTTGTAAAGGTTAAAAAAAAAAAAAAAACAATGCCCACTATCATCATTTCTATTGTACCCTGGGTCCTAACCAATATAAACAAGCAGTAATTAGCCATGTGAGTTTCAGAAATGAAGAAACTTAACTGTCATTATTCAGAAATGACAAAATTCTCCACATAGAAAATCAGATTCTCCAGATAAATTACTAAAATTGATATTTGAGTCTAGAATGATTGTTAGATGCAAGTCAAGATACAAAAGTCACTGTATTTCCATTACTAACAGAAAGTGAAATTTTAAAATACTATTTGTAATAGTAGCATAAATCATCAAAGATATAGTAATAAATCCCATGGAGGAAGTGTAACATCTCTACCAAAAAAAAAAAAAAAAATCTATAAATATAATTGGCAGAAATTAAAGACCTAAATAGAGGGATATACCATGTTCATAGAAGATAATCTCAAATGGGAAATATGTTGGTTTTCCCCAACTTAACCTATAGATTCAGTGCAGTCCCAACAAAATGCCACAGGGCTCTCCATTAAAAGGATAAATATTACTATATGTAAATTGTACTTAAAGAAAGATGGAAAAAAATCCCAGCAGTTGTTTCATTTTGTTTTTAGTAGAAATTGAGGATCAGATTTTAAAATGTATATGAAAATAAATGTAAAAGGCCAATTTAAAAAAGAAAAACAGAACAAAGTAGGAAGACTTGCTCTATCTGATATTAAGACTTATAAAGCAGGGCGCCTGGGTGGCTCAGTCAGTTAAGCATCTGACTCTTGATACTGGCTCAAGCCATGATCTCAGGGTTGGAATTGAGCCCTGAGGGGCACCTGAGTGGCTCAGTCCTTAAGTGTCTGACTTTGGCTTGGGTCATGATCCCAGGGTTCTGGGATCCCTCTCCCATTCCCCCTGCTTCTGTTCCCTTTCTTACTGTGTCCCCCTGTCAAATAAATAAATAAAATCTTTAAAAAAAAAAAAAAAAAAAAAGGAATTGAGCCCTGAGTTGTGTTCCCTGCTTAGCACAGAGTGTGCTTAAGATTCTCTCTCTCCCTCTCTGCTCCAAGACCCCCACAATCTCACTCTCTCTCAAACAAATGAATACATCTTTTTTTTTAGATTTTATTTTTATTTATTTATTTGAGAGAGAGACACACAGATAGTGACAGAGATAGTGAGAGAGAGCACAAATGGGGAGAAGAGGGAGAAGCAGACTTCCTGCTGAGCAGGGAGCCTGATGTGAGGCTCGATCCCAGGACTCTGGGATCATGACCTGAGCTGAAGGCAGCTGCTTCACGACTGAACCACCCAGGCGCCCCATAAATGAATAAACCTTTAAAAAAAAAAAAGAGTTATTATAAAGCTGTAACAGTGGTTATTGGTAGGATAGACAAACAGACCAGTGGAAGACAAGAGTCCAAAAGCAGGTCCTCTAATACACAGAAACTGCTATGAACATTCTTTTATATGTCTCCTAATTTGTATGAGGAAAGATTTTGGGGCAGTGAAGAAAAAGAATTTTTTTTTTCAATAAACAGTGTAGAGACCATAGAACATGCGTGTGGACAATACTGACATTTTGCTCCTGCTTAAACTGTACACCCACACACAAAAAATTTCCATCTGATTAAAGAATCATATGTAACAAAATAAAACTTCCAGAATAATGCATCTTTTACTGTACATTACTAATGCCAGTAGACTGATTTCAGGCTCTCAACACTCCACACATAGACTACTGTTTCCCAAAAATAATTACAGGAAGAATTATTAAAATGGTAGTTGCTCTGACAGTGGTTTTCAAACTTTTTTACCACAACCCACAGAAATATATTTAAATCAAAACACACACACACACACACACACATTCTTCTAGATATATAAAAAACAAAAATACTTTTCCACAAAGTACTTTGAGACTTACCACATAATTTGTGTTCTGCCTTTTTTTTTTCTTTCTCTGTTTTTCTCTATTACATGTTTTAAATTCTGGCTACAGCTCTTCAAAACGATTTCATGAACCATTAATCGGTCACAACCCATAATTTGAAAAACAATGCTTTAGGAAACCAGAGACCTCAGTCTAGGACAGCATGGTAAATCCTCCAGAGAGAATTTTATGCTAAGATTTTTGAATAACAGTTATATAGAGAGACATGTTTGTAGTAAATGCCAAAAACCAGGACTAAAACCCAGGTTTCTCCAATTCTAAAGCTAATGTTCTTTCCATTATACAAAATAGTTCTTCATTAATACACACACACATGAGAAAAGTATAATTATTTTGTCATAAGTTAGTTTATCTTCATGGAAATTAAGAGAAAAAAGATTTTACACACACATATATTTTATTTATTTTATAAGTAGTAATTCTCATAATGATTATAGAAAAGGCTGATTCGTGCTATATTTATTTTAATCGAGAAAAATAACTTATTACACCTCTATCAAAATATTGTTTTTTTCTTCCTGAAGCTGATTATTGTATTATTTTGTATAAAAGTTATCATTTAAAACAAGTGAGAAGGAGAAATCAATTCTTTTCACTTAAAGTACATTAATACTATGCCAGCCTCAAAACCAGTTACATTACTGAATTTTGGTAAATATTTTGAGGGACACACAGAGTAAAAGATGAGTTTTTTCCATGACAAACTTACGTTTTAATAAACCCTTAAGATGAAAATAATTCAACCAACATTACAATATGACTAAAAGATACTAAAACCTTTTATTTTATATTACTGAGTGCACTATCCAGCTATCATAGAAATTAGCTGAAATGACTTACGGTTGCATCGTTTTTGTACAAATCGTAATTTGCAAGCTGTTCTATAAGTTGATAGTCGTATGACATCAAAATTCTGAGCACCTGAAAAAAGTACAAACAGCAGATGTTCAGTGGGATTGACCCCCGCGTTTCTAGGCGCTAGAAAGTGACCATTCCACGGCACAGGCAGGGGCCCCGAGTCACACGTCAACTAGGCCTTCTTCTGAGAAGACTAAAGGGGTCAGGAAGCATTAGGTGCACTTTCTACGTGACCACTCCAGGCCAGCATGTCTGCCTACATTAACCCGTCTACCAGCCAGACAAAAACCCCGAGGGAGAACACTCATCACTATGGTGAATCTTTCCTTCTGTACCTCTTCTTTGGGAAATACTAGGAAATCAGTGATGAGCAACTGGGAAAGTCCCATCCCCGACTAACCAAACAGAAAGAGCGCTAATCTGATGGATGAGACCACACGACATTTTTTGGGCCATGTTCGCTAGTGGAGCGGTAATGACAGGAAAACGTCCATGCACGTGGCACAGAACTCACTATTCAGATTCTTCCTCCAGTACAGTTAAGTCAGACTTGGGTACTGCAAAATGAAATATGGCAAATATCACACAAGTCCAAAGCAAACTAGTTGAGGAAAATGGGAAACCCCACAAGCTCCAGCCTAGTTTGCGGGAAATCTCCACTCTGAAGTTCCAGGTGCTAGTCAAGAATCAAGCATCACTCTGTTTTCCTTTGTCATTTCTCTCATACATTTACCTTCTTCTGAAGCAGTCATCTTTCCTGGTTTCTATAAGGAAAATCCTCATACACTGCTCTAAGAATAGCCTCACTTTTTAAAAAATTTCCCTTATGTAAGTGTCATGTCAATTTCCTGATCAAAAAATGTGGTAGTTTGGCACATAAAAAATAGAACAGAAAGCCCCCAGTGAAGAAACTGATTATGTTATCCCTTTGAGTATTATGAACTAGAAAAGATGACTCTCCACTCCATTATCATTCATTTTGAGAACATTTCATTGTAAGAAATACACTGAAATGTCACTTTAATACTAGTGTCAGACAGTATATTTCAAGCTTATCAAGAAATGGTACAGAGGGTCCTAACTAAACACACAGGCAGAACTCTAGTGACGGGGGAGAGAGCCCAGTGAAGCTCCTGGACAGACAAGAGACAATCTAAAAATACTGAGTACCCAAGAGGTACAGGGAAAGGATAAGAAAGGGTTAACCCTTCTTTCTATATCATGGCTCTCCTCATTCATGAGAATAGGATAAAAACTTCTATAGTATAACCAAATCCCAAGGAAAGCAAAGAGTCAATTGCAAGGGTTTTATTGTATCTGCTTGTATCAGAAGCTTTTATCAGAGTCTCCTGGAGAGGAACCTGGAACCTTCATTCCAGACAGTCCTATAATCAAGCTAGGTTTGGGAAACACATAACTACCCAACTCAGCTTCAAGGTCTGGCCCGTGCAACTCTCAAATTTTACCTCACACCTACCTGCAATCAGTATAAGCTACATATAATTACCCAAACATTCCGAGCTCTCTCATCTGAGCCTTGTAAGTGCTACTCACAGCTCAGCCCTTTCTCCATCACAACCCTGAACTGACTCACCCTGCACATCGCTTCCTTTCAGTTCCCTTCCTGGACCCCCCGGGCTTCCCCAGTCATGGCTCTTACTGCCCTTAATTTCCATTTTCAGGAAAATAAGTTTCATGAAGGTAGAGACCATTTAATTGTTGTGTTGTTCACTATTATATGCCCAAAACTAGGACGTAATAAAACCAGCACCTGAAATATTTATTGAATGAATAGATAACTGAACATTAGAAAGTTGTGTTGCTGATATAAAAGACTGATCTGTGGGGCGCCTGGGTGGCTCAGTGGGTTAAAGCCTCTGCTTCGGCTCAGGACATGATTTCAGGGTCCGGGGACTGAGCCCCGCATCAGCTCTCTGCTCAGCAGGAAGCCTGCTTCCTCCTCTCTCTCTCTCTCTCTCTCTCTCTCTCTCTCTCTGCCTGCCTCTCTGCCTACTTGTGATCTCTGCCTGTCAAATAAATAAATAAAAATCCTTAAAAAAAAAAAAAGACTGATCTGCTTTCCCCAAAAAACATACTAAGTCAAAATATTACACAAACTATACAATTTTGAAAAGCTAATACAAGGAGATGATAAAGGTAGTGGTGAAACCAACTCCTTTCCCTGTACAAACATGTTGATGCCTTCTTCAGACAGAGCACAGGATTCCAGACTGCAGGCTAGGGAGCCACAGGATTCGGTGGAGGAGCTTGGCACACCTACAGAAGGTGTAAGGCAGTAAGTATATTTTGTTAAGAAGCCATCTAACTAACGAGATGAAGAGGAGAGAAGAGAAAGAGAAGAGGTAACAAACCTAGTAAATGTAAGGAGAGTAACTTTTCTGAATTGTCTGAAACCTTAACAACCACTTTTTTTTTAATATTTTATTTATTTATTTGACAGAGAGAGAGAGAGAGAGAGCGAGAGAGGGAACACAAGCAGGAGGAGTGGGAGAGGGAAAAGCAGGCTTCCCACTGAGCAGGAAGCCTGACGTGGGGCTCGATCCCAGGACCCCAGGATCATGACCCGAGCCTACAGCAGATGCTTAACGACTGAGCCACCCAGGTGCTCCTTTACAACAACTTTTTTTTTTTTTTAAGATTTTATTTATTTATTTGACAGAGAGAAATCACAAGTAAGCAGAGAGGCAGGCAGAGAGAGAGGAGGAAGCAGGCTCCCCGCCGAGCAGAAAGCCCGATGTGGGGCTCGAACCCAGGACCTGGGATCATGACCTGAGCCGAAGGCAGCGGCCTAACCCACTGAGCCACCCAGGCGCCCCTACAACAACTTTTAAGAACCAAAATGTTTCAAGAGAATAGGAGTCTGAATAAGTAACAAAAATAAACATAAATGACTCCCTTGTTGTTTTTTTTTTTCTTGGCTGTCTGATTAGAAATCCTGGGGACCAGAGATGAAGCCAGAAGTCCCAACAGAGAAGAAGGTATAGACCACAGAATGGTGACTCTTTCAGTGGGTGAACTAGAAAGAAAAGGGGGGAAAAAAATCCCACAAAGGGAAACAGGAACACATGACTGGCTCCACCTAAACTTAGATTTAAATTTTTAAAGCAAATAAAGAAAGTTATAATCAAATAGGTTAGACAAAAGAAAAACTGACCATACGAAAGAATTCTTTTTTTTTTTTTTAAAGATTTTATTTATTTATTTGACAGACAGAAATCACAAGTAGGTGGAGAGGCAGACAGAGAGAGAGGAGAAAGCAAGCTCCCCGCTGAGCAGAGAGCCCGATGCGGGGCTCGATCCCAGGACCCTGGGATCATGACCTAAGCCGAAGGCAGAGGCTTTAACCCACTGAGCCACCCAGGCGCCCCTCCATACGAAAGAATTCTTAAGTCTAATTTATGATGTTAAAAAAGAGAATACTAAAAATAGCATGTATTGGGGCACCTGGGTGGCTTAGACATTAAGCGTCTGCCTTTGGTTCAGGTCATGATTCCGGGGTCTGGGATTGAACCCCACGTCGGGCTCCCTGCTCAGCTGGAAGCCTGCTTCTCCCTCTCCCACTCCCCCTGCTTGTGTTTCCTCTCTCTCTGTGTCTTTCTCTGTCAAATAAATAAAATCTTTTTTAAAAAATGGCATGTATTTCATAAGGGAGGTGTTCTAAAACAGTTTAATATTCCTGTATTGCTTTGAATAAGTTGTAAATGTTGATAAGCTCTGGATTTCATTTTAATTGATGTTAGACTTTCTAGGGTAGCCACGAAAAGAACAGAAAAAGAATATACAACTCACAACCAAGAAGAGGGAAAAATGGACCAGAAGGAAGGAAACTCATTTTATCTAAGGAAGATAAGAAAGGAAGAAAAAACAACAGAGAAAGGACGCAGTTGAAGCACAAAACAAGATGGGAAAAAATGTGAAATCCCTCTGTCCTCATAAAAACAATTAAACAGGGGCGCCTGGGTGGCTCAGTGGGTTAAGCCGCTGCCTTCGGCTCGGGTCATGATCTCGGGGTCCTGGGATCGAGCCCCGCGTCGGGCTCTCTGCTCGGCAGGGAGCCTGCTTCCTCCTCTCTCTCTGCCTGCCTCTCTGCCTGCTTGTGATCTCTCTCTGTCAAATAAATAAATAAAATCTTTAAAAAAAAAAAAAAAAAACAACAATTAAACAGGATAAATTCTTCAGTGAAAAAGCAAAGACAATAGTTGTTGTTGCTGCTGTTAAATAATCTAGCTTACACTGCTTATAGGAGAGACACATAAAACATAAAGATCAGGGGAGCCTGGGTGGCTTAGTAAGTTAAGCATCTGAGTCTTGACTTCAGCTCAGGTCATTATCTCAGGGTCATGGGATCAAGCCCCATGTTGGGCTCCATGCCCAGCTCGGACTCTGCTTAGGATTCATTCTTTCCCTCACCCTCTGCCTGAGAGAAGGAACACAAGCAGGGGGAGTGGGAGAGGGAGAAGCAGGCTTCCTGCTGAGCAGGGACCCTGATGTGGAACTTGATCCCAGAACCCTGGGATCATGACCAGAGCTGAAAGCAGATGTTTAATGACTGACCCACCCAGGCGCCCCCAGTACAGCTATATTAATAGCAACAACAGTAAAAAGCATCACTAGAAAAAGAGTATACCTATAAAAAAATATATATATATTTTTTAAAAAGAGTATACCTTCATAATATTCAATATATTCAATTTCCTAGGTAGACGTAAGATTTTAATACATGTGCATCTAAGAACAAAAGGTCAAATCACTGACAGAACTAAGGGGTAAAAAATTAAAGTCCATGATCAAAGCAGAGATTTTTAATGACTTTCAGTAATCAAGCAGTCAAATCCTTAAGAACGAAAATGGTCTGAATAAAACATGTAACAAGGTAAATCTAAATAATGAAGAAATCATACACATTATTTTCAAGCACACTGGAATATTTACAAAAACATATAACAAAAAATATCAAATTCAAAGATTCTAGAACATCCTTCATTCTCTGACCCACATACCAATTAAGCTAAATATTTTTTAATTAAAAGTCATTCATTTGTAAATTTAAAAGGGTATTTCTAAATAATTCCTAAAAGAAGTTAGAAAACACAGAGAAGGGACGCCTGGATGGCTCAGTTGGTTAAGCAGCTGCCTTCGGCTCAGGTCATGATCCTGGCGTCCTGGGATCGAGTCCCACATCGGGCTCCTTGCTCGGCAGAGAGCCTGCTTCTCCCTCCGACTCTGCCTGCCTCTCTGTCTGCCTGTGCTCGCTCACTTGCTCTCTCTCTCTGACAAAAAAAAAAAAAAAAGAAAACACAGAGAAATGATCACGAAAATGGCATCTATCAGAACACATGAAATGCAAAAATAGAAAATCACAGGAAAGAAGTTCTTAAGTGCTTACATAAGAGGAAAAAAGTCAGAAAATAAATGGCCCAAGTTACCTAACATAAGAAGTTGGAAAAAGAACATCAGAATTCCCTTAAGTAAGAAGAAGAAAGTAATAAACACAATAGCACAAAATAATGAGGCAGAAACAAAGATACACCCAGAAGACCAACATAGCCAAAGTTCCTTGAAAAGACCAATAAAAGTGACAAAATTTTGGAAAAGGAATAATAAAATCAGAATCTCTGAGCTGGGAGGCCTGGCATCAAGCCACTTGGTCGTAGTGAATAATCCTTTTAATGTACTGTTGGATCCTACTGGCTAATATTCTGGTGAGAATTTTTGCATCTGTGTTCATCAAGAATATTGGTCTGTAATTCTCTTTTTTGATGGGGTCTTTGTCTGGTTTTGGGATCAGGTAATGCTGGCCTCAAAAAATGAGTTTGGAAGTTTTCCACCATTTCTATTTTTTTGGAACAGTTTCAGGAGAATAGGTATTAATTCTTCTTTGAATGTTTGGTACAATTCCCCTGGGAAGCCATCTGGCCCTGGACTCTTGTTTGTTGGGAGATTTTTGATGACTGCTTCAATCTCCTTACTGGTTATGGGTCGGCTCAGGTTTTCTATTTCTTCCTGGTTAAGTTTTCACTACAACCAAGTGGGATTTATTCCTGGGCTGCAAGGGTGGTTCAACATCCACAAATCAATCATTATGTGATAAAATACATTAATAAAAGAAAGAATAAGAGCCATAGGGTACTCTCAATAGATGCTGAAAAAGCACTTGACAAAGTACAGCATCCTTTCCTGATCAAAACTCCTCAAAATGTAGGGATAGAGGGTACATACCTCAATATCATCAAAGCCATCTATGAAAAACCCATAGCATACTGCACCCAAAACCGTAAGCTACCTAGGAATAAACCTAACCAAAGAGGCAAAGAATCTGTACTCAGAAATCTATAAAGTACTCATGAAAGAAATTGAGGAAGACACAAAGATATGGAAAAACGTTCCATACTCATGGATTGGAAGAACAAATATTGTAAAAATGTCTATGCTACCTAAAGCAATCTACACATTTAATGCAATCCCTATCAAAATACCATCAAATTTTTTTCAAAGAAATCGAACAAAGAATCCTAAAATTTATATGAAACCAGAAAAGACCTCGAATAGCCAGAGGAATGTTGAAAAAGAAAGCCAAAGTTGGTGGCATCACAATTCCATACTTCAAGCTCTATGACAAAGCTGTCATCATCAAGACAGCATGGTACTGGCACAAAAACAGACACACAGATCAATGGAACAGAATAGAGAGCCCAGAAATAGACCCTCAACTCTACAGTCAACTAATCTTTGACAAAGCAGGAAAGAATGTCCAATGGAAAAAAGACAGTCTGTTCAACAAATGGTATTGGGAAAATTGGACAGCCACATGCAGAAGAATTAAACTGGACCATTTTCTTACACCACACACAAAAACAGACTCAAAATGGATGGAGGACCTCAATGTGAGGAAGGAAGCCATCAAAATCTTTGAGGAGAACACAGGTAGCAACCTATTCGACAGCCACAGCAACTTCTTCCTAGAAACATCGCCAAAGGCAAGGGAAGCAAGGGCAAAAATGAATTATTGGGACTTCATCAAGATCAAAAGCTTTCACAACAAAATAGTCAACAAAACCAAAAGACAACTGACAAAATGGGAGAAGATATTTGCAAACGACATATCAGATAAAGGGCTAGTATCCAAAATCTATAAAGAACTTATCAAACTTGGGGCACCTGGGTGGCTCAGTGGGTTAAAGCCTCTGCCTTCGGCTCAGGTCATGATCCCAGGGTCATGGGATCGAGCCCCACATCGGGCTCTCTGCTCGGCAGGGAGCCTGTTTCCCCCTCTCTCTCTGCCTGCCTCTCTGCCTACTTGTGATCTGTCTGTCAAATAAATAAATAAAATCTTAAAAAAAAAAAAAAAGAAGAAGAAGAAGAACTTATCAAACTCAACACCCAAAGAACAAAGAATCCAATCAAGAAATGGGCAGAAGACATGAACAGACATTTCTGCAAAGGTGACATCCACACGGCCAACAGACACATGAAAAAGCGCTCCACATCACTCAGCATCAGGGAAATACAAATCAAAACCACAATGAGATACCACCTCACACCAGTCAGAATGGCTAAAATTAACAAGTCAGGAAATGACAGATGCTGGTGAGGATGCCGAGAAAGGGGAACCCTCCTACACTGTTGGTAGGAATAAAATCTGGTGCAGCCACTCTGGAAAACAGCATGGATGTTCCTCAAAAAATTGAAAATAGAGCTACCCTATGACCCAGCAATCGCACTACTGGGTATATACCCTTAAGATACAAATGTAGTGATCCGAAGGGGTGTGTGCACCCGAATGTTTATAGCAGCAATGTCCATAATAGCCAAACTATGGAAAGAACCTAGATGTCCATCAACAGATGAATGAATAAAGAACACACACACACACACACACACACACACACACACACACACACAATGGAATACTATGCAGCCATCAAAAGAAATGAAATCTTGCCATTTGCAACAACATGGATCGAACTAGAGGGTATTGTGCTGAGCGAAATAAGTCAATGGGAGAAAGACAATTATCATATGATCTCCCTGATATGAAGAATTTGAGAGGCAACATGGGGGGTTTGGGGGGTAGGGAAGGAAAAAATGAAGCAAGATGGGATCAGGAGGGAGGGAGACAAACCATAAGAGACTCTTAATCTTCTCAAAACAGAGGGTTGCTGGGGGGAGGGGGGGAGGGAGAGGGTGGTTGGATTATGGACATTGGGGAGGGTATGTGCTATGGTGAGTGCTGTGAAGTATGTAAACCTGGCGATTCACAGGTCTGTACCCCTGGGGCTAAAAATACATTATATGTTAATAAAAAATTAAAAATTTAAAAAAAATCCTAAGAAAAAGAAAACAAAAAAAAAAAAGAATTTAAAATACAGTAGTCAAAACCATCTTTCTTTAAAAATAATATAGTGCCTTGGGGCGCCTGGGTGGCTCAGTGGGTTAAAGCCTCTGCCTTTGGCTCAGGTGGTGATCCCAGGGTCCTGGGTTCGAGCCCTGCATCAGTCTCTCTGCTCAGCAGGGAGCCTGCTTTCTCCTCTCTCTCTCTGCCTGCCTCTCTGCCTACTTGTGATCTCTGTCAAATAAACAAATAAAATCTTTAAGTAATAATAATAATAATAATAATAATATAGTCCCAAAGAATGTACAACATCAAGAATAAACCCTAATGTAAACCACAAATTTGGGATGTTACAATTTGTCAACACAGGCCCATTTGTTGTAGCGAATGTACCCTCTGGTGGGGTGGTGTTGTTAACAGGGGAAGTCGTGCATGTGTGCTACGGGGAACTTGCTGTACCTGCCTCTTAGTTTTATGTGAACCTAAAACTGCTCTAAAATAGTGAAGTCTTGGGGTGCCTAGGTGGCTTAGTGGGTTAAGCCTGCAGAGGCTCAGGTCATGATCTCAGGGTCCTGGAATCGAGCCCCGCATCGGGCTCCCTGCTCAGGGGGGAGCCTGCTTCCCCCTTGTGATCTCTATCTCTGTGTCAAATAAATAAAATCTTTTTTTAAAAAAAAGTGAAGTCTGAAAAAAAGTTATGGATATACCTACAACAAGTAAAAATCTATTAATTACCCACTGAGACTAATAAAACAGAAAGATCAGTGAATTCAAAATTGCCATAAAATCAACCCAAAACTTAGATGGTAGAATCCTATGATAAGGCTGGCAAAAGAGGACTTTTACATCCATAGAAGGTAATAATGCTGGAGATCTGGGGGGATGTTGGAAAGGAGAGAGTAGAACTTTTAGCAGCAGACACCACTGTCACCAAGGCAATTCTTCCTATGAAGAAAGAGGGGAGACAAGAAGCCATACTCACCAAACATCTCCAAAACTGTCCATACCCTTGAGTTTGTTACAGAGAAAGGCAATTTGTCTGAGCTCTACGTGTCAGAATGATGACATTCATGAAGCAGCAAACCCAATTCTTTACAGAACACCCATTTCCTACGCCACAGTAGTATTCTACCCTGGTTGTGCTCTCTCTCACGGTCACGTTTATTTACTGAAGGCACCCCAGGCACTTCTCACTATCAGGATTTGTTTATCAACTTGGTTTCCTTATTTTGTATGTTTCCCCTCACCAAAATGTAAGCAGTGTGCAAGAAGTCAGGGACTGTGTTCTGTCCCCTCTTAACCCTAGCACCTAGTACAGTGCCTAGAACATAACAGATCTTCAACAAATGTGTTTAAAAATTAATGAAAATATGACCCCTATGCTGAGCCGTCAATGGTAAACAGGAACAACAAGGCAGATGAAGGTGGGCCCAACTGCATAAGCAAAGGCCCAAAGACGGCAAATGCGTGATCCGTATGGAGTCTGCTTGAGATTCTCTCCCTGCCCCTCTCTCTCTGCCCCTAGGCCCACTTGCACTCTCTCTTTCTGTCTCTAAAATAAATAAATCTTCTTTTTAAAAAATGGAACATGCTAATGCTTAAAGTTATGACTTCATCAGGAAAAAAAAGAAAAGGCACCCCCACACATACAAACAAGGAACCCAGAAGCCCTCAGGACTCACGCATTTCTATGAACAGCTGCCTCTTCTCGGCCATGGTCTTCCGCTTGTTTCCACTTTCCTCAATCATCCTATAAACAAAAAAGGATACAATAAACCACTGCAATTTGATAATTCATCCAAGGGCTTATCATTCTGTTACGAAGAGGTACAGGGAACCAAGTTGTATATGCATTTAAGAGACAATCAGTAAAAATAAAGCAGAAGCCCGATATAGAAAAAGACAAGACACTGTCCCTTTATTTACTTGATAGCTTCTAAAATATGACAAAGTCAACAATTAAATGAGCTCATACACTTGCTTCCTGTGCTGAAAATATGGGGCTATGTCTTATTTCTAACTTTGATTATTTTCTCTGCTAAGTCCTGGATTGGTTGGGACACAGCTTCCCATAACCCTATTGTTTTACACAGATAAATATGGTACTAAATATAATTTAGAAAATAATTATAATGAAAGGCTAAACTAAAGAACATAACAGTTATTAGCATATACATAAAAGACATAAATAAAATCTTCTATTTTCATAGTAAACAATATTGAACAAAGAAAATATTCATACCCGGGGCACCTGGATGGCTCAGTGGGTTAAGCCTCTGCCTTTGGCTCAGGTCATGATCCCAGGGTCCTGGGATCGAGCCCCACTTGGGCTCTCTGCTCAGCAGGGAGCCTGCTTCCCCTCTCTCTCTGCCTGCCTCTCTGCCTACTTGTGATCTCTGTCAAATAAATAAAATCTTTTATTAAAAAAAAGAAAGAAAGAAAAGTATTCATCCCCAAACTCAAAGAACTCCTAGAAATAATTTTTTTTAAGATTTTATTTATTTATTTGACAGACAGAGATCACAAGCAGGCAGAGAGGCAGGCAGAGAGGGGGAAGCAGGCTCCCTGCTGAGCAGAGAGCCTGATGTGGAGCTCCATCCCAGGACCCTGGGATCATGACCTGAGCCGAAGGCAGAGGCTTTACCCACTGAGCCACCCAGGCCCCCTTTGAGATAAATTTTTTATCATACAGTAATAGATCAGGTTGACACACACAGGCTACATCAGTCTCTCTGTTAAAACTCTGTCCATGTGTTACCTCATTTAATCCTTCCAACAACCCTAGCTACTGGTATCATTACTATTATCCCCATTTTATAGATTAGGAAACAGCCTCGAAAAGAACACTAACTTGCTTGAGGGCACAACTCAGAAGTGGCAGAGTCAATTCCCACCCTTTTGCTAAACTTCTTACAGAATCCTTGCTTTCTCATGCATGGTGCCAAATCTCCACACTGAAAAAGCTGGAGAACAGGGGCACCTGGGTGGTTCAGTGGGTTAAGCCGCTGCCTTCAGCTCAGGTCATGATCTCAGGGTCCTGGGATGGAGTCCCGCATCGGGCTCTCTGCTCAGCAGGGTGCCTGCTTCCCTCTCTCTCTCTTTCTGCCTGCCTCTCCGTCTACTTGTGATCTCTCTCTGTCAAATAAATAAATAAATCTTTAAAAAAAAAAAAAAGCTGAAGAACAAAAGAGCCCATTGCACAGACCCTACTGATGCAAAATCCATGATCATTTCAGCTGCATTTTGTCTTATTCTGTGAAGAAAAAGTATCTAGACAGAGCATAAGCCAAACAATTTCCCTAAGGAGATTAAACTTATAAATCATGGAGTGATTTATAGCACAGTCTCAAATATATTAGAATCACAAATTAAATGATGACTACACAAATTACATATCCATTAAAACAAGGCGCCTGGTAAAGGTTTAGTTTTAAATATATCCTAAAGAAAATTTAAAAATTACCATTCTACAACTAATATTTTGATAATTAAAACCAATCTTTTCCTAAATCATTGATGTATTACCAAGTAGGCTTTAACACACATGATGGTTACTTAACAATTTACCTCCAAGAGAAAAAAATTTTAAACAGGAAGAAAGCCAAAAGACAAAGCAACTAGAAACAGCAGAATGTAATGAAAGGTAGGTCCTAAAGAAAAAAACAAGGGTTGGTACCAGTAGCCTGTAATTACAAAGGAAGAAAGATATTTAAAAGTTTACTGCCTCCTCCCCAATCTTGGTGTCTCACTAGGTAATACAAATTTTAAATGCTAACCATAGATTAAAAGATAATATCATAATATCCTTTATAACATATCTCATCATAGCATTTTTCTACTTTTCACTATTTCTCTACACCACTTTTTTTCAAAGTAGAGCCTAAGAACTCCTGGAGATCTCTAATTTCTTCATGACAATTTTCTAAATTTTGTCTTTATTTCCAAATTAATCTCAAAAAAATTAATATAACTATATTCTGGGTCATTGAGATGCCTAACTACAATGTTAAGACAAAAAATACCAACACTCTATAAATTTAAGGAAGACCCAAAGTTTTATCATGTTCAGTATGTCCAGAAACAATACAAAATTCTTTGGCAAGCAACCAACCAAGAAAATCTTAACTCACAAGGGAAATGACAATCAACAGAAGCTACCGATAAGAAGACAGATGTTGGAGGAACCTGATAGAGAATTTAAAGTAGCAGTTAGGGGCATCTGGGTGGCTCAGTGGGTTAAAGCCTCTGCCTTCGGCTCAGGCCATGATCCCCGGGTCCTGAGATCGAGCCCTGCATCGGGCTCTCTGCTCAGCAGGGAGCCTGCTTCCCCCCACCCCCCAACCCCCCTGCCTGCCTCTCCACCTACTTGTGATCTATCAAATAAATTTTAAAAATCTTAAAAAAAAAAAAAAAGTAGCAGTTAGAAAAATGCCTAAATTAGCAATCACAAACATTCTTGAAATAAGAGTTAAAATCTTAAGTGTTAGCAGAGAAAGAAAAGATATGAAAGGAACCAAATGCAAATCTTAGAACTGAAATATACACTCATTGGGGGAGGACTGGATGGACTCAACTGCAGAACGGAAATGACAGAGGAAAGAGTCAGTAAACTTTAAGATATATCAAGCAGAAATTATCCCATCTGAAGAGGGGGCAGGGCAAGAGAGAGTTTTTTTTTGTTTGTTTCTTAAAGGAATAAAGCTTCAGGGACTGAGTGGACAAAAACAAAAGATCCAACATTCATCATGTACTCAGAATCCCAGGAGAGAAAAAGGAGTGTGGCAACATGGTACTACACAATACATGAAGACATATGAGCTGAAAACTTACCAAGTTCAGTGAATGACATACCCAAGAATTCAAGAAACTGAGCAAACAAGCTATAGCCAAAGAAACTAACTATAATGGTCATATCATAATCAAATTGCTGAAAGACAAAGAAAAAATCTTAAAAGAAGTCAGAGTAAAAGAACATTTTACGTATAAGATAGGGACCAGCCAATCTTTTTCTTAAAGAGCCAAACAGTAAATATTTTAGGTTTGCGGGCCATGTGGTCTGTCACCACTACTCACCATCGCCACTGCAGTGTGAAAGCAGCCACAGACAATATGTAGACAAATGAGTATGGCTTTGTTGAAAGTTTATTTTGAAAACAAACAGGTAGTCAACTCACAGAACAGAGCCTACAGCCCCTATTGAGACAAGTGACGACATGATTACTGCAGATTTCTCATCAGAAACTATGGAAGTCAGAAGATGGTGGAACAATGCTTTTACATTGAGAGAATATTATCCTTTCAGAAACTAAAGAAAACTGAGAGAATTTGTAGTCAGCAGACATGCTCTAAAATAAGCTAAGGAGGGGCGCCTGGGTGGCTCAGTGGGTTGGGCCGCTGCCTTCGGCTCGGGTCGTGATCTCGGAGTCCTGGGATCGAGCCCCGCATCGGGCTCTCTGCTCGGCGGGGAGCCTGCTTCCTCCTCTCTCTCTGCCTGCCTCTCTGCCTGCTTGTGATCTCTCTGTCAAATAAATAAATTTTAAAAAAAAATCTTTAAAAAAAATAAATAAAATAAGCTAAGGAAAGTTCTTCAGGGAGCGCCTGGGTGGCTCACTTGTTAAGCAGCTGCCTTCAGCGCAGGTCATGATCCTGGGGTCCTGGGATCAAGCCCTGCATCTGGCTCCCTGCTTAGTGGGAAGCCTGCTTCTCCCTCTCCCACTCCCCCTGCTTGTGTTCCCCCTCTTGCTGTCTCTGTCAAATAAATAAATAAAATCTTTAAAAAAAAAATTCTTTAGAAAGGGAAAACAATTACAAAATGTTACAAATGAAGAACCACAAAAGATGTTAGAAAAAAATAACACCAATTTCATACAATTGTTACCAGAAAATACAAAAGAACATCTTTCGAATCATTTTAAAAAGCCAGTAATATCCTGATACCCAAAATAGACAAAGACAGTACAAAAACAAATGCCTCATGAACATAGACACAAAAAACCTCAGCAACAAGCAAAATCCTCAACCAATCAAGCCATATATAAAAACCTCGGAAGCAGTGGGAGTTTATCCAGGAATGGAAGGCCAATTCAACATTTGAAAATTAATCAATATAATCCAAAATATTAACAAACTAATAAAAAATGTTTAGGTCAGATGCAAAAAGAGCATTTGACAAAATACAATGTTCATTCCTAGAGATAAAAACTCTCTGAAAACTAGAAATAAAACCTTTCTACACCTGATAAAGGGCACCTACAGAAAACTGACAACTAAGATCATACTTAGTGGTAGAAAACGATATGCTTTTCCCCTGAGACTGGGACCAAGACAAGGATGTCCGTTCTTACTACTTCTACTAAACATTATATGGGATGCCTCAGCCAGTGAAATAAGACAAAAGATAAAAGGCAAACAGAATGGAAAGAAAGAAATAAAATTATCCCTATTTTGCAGACATCATGATGATCTAGATGATGATCTAGATGATGTAAATTCCAAATTCTAGGAGCCAAAAAAAGCTCCTAGAACTAAAAAGTGAGTCTGACACCGTTGCAGGACAGGAGGTCAAAACACAAAAGTCAGCCAACAGCTCTGTTTACTAGCAATGCACAACTAGAAATTGAATACTCTTTTTTATTATTTATTTATTTGTCAGAGAGAGAGAGAGAGAGCACAGGCAGACAGAGTGGCAGGCAAAGACAGAGGGAGAAGCAGGCTCCCCGCTGAGCAAGGAGCCCGATACGGGACTCAATC